TGGGGCATCGTGTTTAGGAACCAGGGGGGGTAGTGAGGGGAGAGTGGTCGCACCACAAAGAAAGGGGCTGCGTAAGGAAGACTACTGTTGCGAGCCAGAGAGTCCTTAGAAGGTAACTTGGGTAGCTTGACTTCGGCATTTTGATCAGGCTGTTGCGGCAGTTAGGGGGATAATTGGACATTTCGAAGGGGTTATTGCCGCAGATTGAAAGGTCGTCAGAAAGTTGACTGAGCTATTATATTGGCTGTCATTGCGGGACCCTTAGGAGCTAAAAGATTACAAGGCCCTCTCCAGTGAGCTTGAGAGCACCCCTCTTGGATCCGAGAGACTCTATACTTCTACTTCTAATCTTCTTAATCTAAGTCTAGTCCTTGGTTACAAGAGGAAGGCGGCAGGCGGGATTGCAACCCGTAAGTCCGCGTCAAGACTCTGTGGGGAGTCCACCCACCGATTGCGGGAGCTCTGCCAGAACTTAGGAGGAGTTCTGGAGGCAGGGAACCTTCAGAGAAATCATCTTTATCTGTATAAACCCCACTACTACCTATGTTTGCCTATCTCCCTGCAGTATGATCGTTGTATGCATGCGCTTGTCCCTATGGTTTTCGCTTTCTCTTCAGGACCCAATCAGACTAACTGGAAAGAATGTGTGAGAGTGAAGCCTAAGTTTCTATTTTTGTTCTGATTGAAAACAGACTAAGGATGAATTGGGGGAAGGTGAGAGGAAGGTAAACTGCATGCGTTTGACCGGGTCAACCAAAGCCTGAGCATTGTTTCTACTGTGAATGGCTCAGGGCTATGTTTATTTGGATGTTTTCTGAAGGACCAGGCATTGTTTCTACTGTGAATGACCTGGTCGCTGTGTTTATTTGATTGTTTTCTGGGGAGTCAGACATTGTTTCTACTGTGAATGGCCTAGCTACCTTAGCTAACTCTGAGGGTTGTCTGATTGAAGGGGTTTAAATTCTTGTTTATTTTTGAGGGAGGATTTTTGGTCTAAGGCTAAACATTGTTTCCATGGTGAATGGTTTAGCCTGAAAACCACGCACATAATTTAAACTAAGTATGAAGGAAAGTATTTTACGTATATTTGCATGTGAACTGACAGCTGGGCATTGTTTCTACTGTGAATGGTCCAGCGTTAAGCCATATCATTAAGAAGAGAAAAAGAAAAATACAAAGTACAAATGAAAACAGTTTGGGCAAACTGAACATTGTTTCTACTGTGAATGGTTCAGTCCCCTGCCAATATTTGCCTTTTCTTTTGAAAACAAAGTCAGAGAAATACTAAACCTTGGATATTAAACGGCTCAGGGCGGCTAAGCATTGTTTCCATGGCGAATGACCTAGTCATACGCCCAAAAGAAGAGAGAAGTAGTTGTGCAACCTGTTCGTGTATATTTTAAAGGCAAGTTGGACATTGTTTCCATGGCGAATGGTCCAGCTATATGTCTTATGTAAGAGRGGAATAAGRGTTCAAGGACTTAAAAGATTCATAAACTATCTATATGGAATGAACTTGGGGCTGGTGAGAGTACTTACCTTTGTGGTTTGGCTTGCATGTGACTGAGTGAGGCCACTACTTAGTCTGAGTTTCTRGTTGGTAGGTAGTTGCTTTAGTTGCTCGCCACGTGCTAGAGCCATAGGAGTTAGTGTCAATTCTTGTATTTTTTGTAAYAACTTTCTTTACTTAGGTCAATTCTTGCATTTTCKGAGACCTTTTCTTATACTTGGYTTTGTGTAAATCTTGGCAARCTAYTTTCTTTACGGGAAGCCCTGCCGAAATTTCTACAGATCCAAGGAGATAGTTAAATTTTGGCTTGTCGAAAGTTCAACTTTGTCCTTTCTCTTATCTGACTTAGTTAAAATCTAGGAAGTCTCCTTTTCTAAAGGGAGTGCTGCCCAAATTTTTGCTAATTCAGGGAGTTAGACAAAATTGAACTTTGAGAAACCAAAGTTATTCTCAAATTCTGGATCTGACTTAGTATAAATCTGGGGAGTCTCCCTTTCTAAAGGGAGTGCTGCCCAAATTTCTACTAATTCAGAGAGTTAGACAGAATTCGACTTTCCAGAATTAGAGATTAATTCTGCTT